TAAGGCAAGATTAAGACTTTAAGACCCAGAAGACTCAGTGTCTGTGTTGTTGGCTTTCAGTGTTATAATTTTCTTCTTCTTTTTCTCACATGCATCATGGTTACTTTGATTCACCCCTTGCTTGTAAGAAATGAGTGATCCAAGTAAGTTATCAATAGAATAAGTATTCAAATCCTTTGATTCAATAATTACAGTGATTTTAGCATCAAAGGAAGAAGGAAAACATCTCAAAATCTTATTGAATCTTTCATATTTAGTAATCTCTCTTCTTAAAGCATACAATGAGGTGGCAATTTAAGTAGGCCTAGTATACATGTCATAAATCGATTTAGTAGGTTTAATACAAAAAAGTTTATAGTCATGCAAATAGAGTATTCAATCTAGATTTCTTAACCTCATTTGTGTCTTCATAAGTAATACACACTCTATCCCAAATTTATTTACTAGTTGCACAAGTTAAAATATGTATATAATCTTCAGATTTCAAAGCACAGAAAAAATAGTTCAAACTTTTTGCATTAAGTTATGCTAAATCTCTTTCATCAAAAGTCTATTCAGTAAAAAGAAGTTCAGTTTTAATTCCATTAATTTCACTAGGAGGTGAATAACCATCTTTAACAAGCATCCAAATACGATAATCAATCGATTGTAAAAATATAGACATGCGAGTTTTCCAAAAATCGAAAAGAATATTATTAAATAGAGGGTGGTCAGGTAATAGAATACCCTTCCGCGGTATTACGATTACTAAAGTTAGCAATAAATCAAAATTTAAAAATTTTTAAAAACTAGATTTTATGAATCTCACTCTGATACCACTTAAAAGTTTGTTAGGGATGTTAAGCCCTTATGAACTAGTCTCAAGACTAACCAAGATGAGGGTGAATTGTTATTTAAAAAATTTCTCAATCAAAATACAAAGTCAAACCAAAGTTCACCACAAAGAAATCAAAGTGCAGAAATTAAATGTGGAACTAATAATAAATAACACAAAATTTATAGTGGTTCGATCAACTTGACATACATCCACTCCTTGGAGCCTCTCATTTGGTTATTGCATTAAACACAGTGTCTCTCCTTTTTCCCCCTTAGCAAGGCAGAGAACCCAACTCCTTTTGCTTCCTTTATAAGCAGGCAGAGAACCCAACTCTTTTTCCTTCCTCCTGAAGCAGGCAGAGAACCTTGATCAGATGTTGAAGTAGACCTCTCTAGAACCCCCAAGGAACTAGGGATGATGACTGGAGAAGATGATGATGGATCCTTGCTTGGAGCAACCTTTGTGAAACCTATCATAAACTCCCCCTCACAAGATCCTCTCTCTCGTTCTCCCTTGCTCTCCCTCTCTTGGCTCTCTTAAGTTAGGATAATAGCAAAAGATACACTCTTGGGTAGAACAAGAGGTCTTATATAGAAGAGCTTCGGAATAGTTCTTAATTGCAACAAACTAACTTTATCGTCTAGGATGATCTGAATATGATCCTATACAATTAGTACAAATTTAGCTTAATTAGCCATAACAATTTGGGATGATGAAAAGGTTTTTGTTCATATTATCCAGGACGATAGGATATCATCATGTATGATTAGTACAAGTCATTGAATAATGTCCAGAACATCACCCTGAATGGATGTCTAGTCAATATAAAAATAACTTGATCGTCTAGGCCGATCTCACAATCATTTTGGATGATTAGTTCAATTCAGAATATATCATCAAGAGCATCGTCCTGAATATAAGTAGGCTGATGTTTGATCATCCAGGAATAACTAAGGATTATGAACTCATCATTCCAGCTAATCCTGTGATCATCTAGGATGATATGATCGAGAAATCAAATCTTAATTTCTTTTCTTAATTACCAGATTTATTTAGGCATAATTGTATTGCATTATACAGGATGATGTCCTGGAAGATGTCCAAAAATAAAAGTTACCTAAATAGATCTGACAGTTGATTCTTTTTTATTTAAGTCTGTCATCCCAATCGAGACAAATATCTTCTAGGATGATGTGCTTAATGACGGTTACCTTAACTAGGATGCCCTAATTTAGGTTTTTATTTTTAACTAATCATCCTAGTAAATTTTTTGATCGTCCTGGAATGATGTGAGCAAACAAAGAAAACTCTAAAACAGTCATAAAATTTTTCCCAAGTGCGTGTGTGCAATGTTGTTTAGCATCAAGACCCACAATGTTATAGTGGACTCAAGAAAATGTAAAATACACATGTCATACATTTACAAACTGACTCAATCCTAATCTACCCAATCTTGAGCTAGTTCAACTTGCAGTTTGATCTTATGAACCTGAATTGTAAGTAGGCAAGGCAATCGTGGAGAAACAGAAGTATTTGTAATCATCAAAATTATATTCCTTGAAATCAAATTTGCAACACTCCTCGCCTTCGCTCACTGAAGTTGCACTTTCCATCCTCAAACCAAGCTTGGTGTCTAGCACTCAAGCTCCAACATTTTCTTCTTTGTTTCATTCCTCTTCAAGACCAAGCCCTCTAGCCCATAGTATGATGTAACTCCACCAAATCTGTAATATTCCTATAAATGCATCGAAGGCATGTACGAGCTTTTAAATAAAACATTGTATTCAAATGACAATTACCTGTAACACTGATCAATATAAAATATTCTAAAAATCTCTCCTAAATATACTCATAGCCCCCAACTAGCATGTTTTGGATATACATGTGATGTTTAGGGAAGCTACACTGGTAAAATGATGAACCTAATTTTGTTCCCAATCCTTATATACAGGTACATAGGAGTTGACATAACTCGATCCATCAAATAAATATATAACAATAATATCGACCAGGATAACTATTTTATTCATTCCTGTTAGGCCATTAAGGCCGATAAGAAAGGAAATTTAGATGTAATAGCATAAAAGCTGGCATTGAACTTGATCCTCTATAAGTAATTAGACATAGTCGAGAAGGATTAATGGATAAGTACAAAAATATCCCTTAAAATACCCACATCGGCTTTAACGAGTGTATTATACTTTGCACGTTACATCTGAGGATGCTAAGTGGTTCTATAATTATCCAGTTGAGCCAGAGCATAGGAAGAAGAGAATAGATGGGAAGGACAACTCCACTGGCGGGGACGGTTCCCCTTTTGCTGATTAATGATGAATTTGTTATTTTGGAACTGCAGGGGAGCCTGAAAGAGAAAGGCTTCATTGTATTTGAAGGAAGTTGTTAGGGAGCATGAGGTGGGTTTTATTGGGATTATGGAGACTAAGCTTTACAATATTGATAGGAGAAATGTGGACTGTTTTATTGGGAGAGATTGGGATTTTTTTCACCACCCTGCAGTGGGCTTGTCTGGTGGTATTCTAATTATGTGGAATAGGAAAAATGTTTCTTTTGCTATTCAAGAAAGTTCCTCTCAAGCTGTTATTGGAGTACTCTCTACTCCTTTGATGGGAGATTGGAAGGTGGCAACAGTTTATGGGAGTAGATGTTCTGTGGAGAGGAGGGATCTTTGGAGTTTACTTGAGAAGAACATGGATTGGTCGGGTCCTTCTTTAGTGGGGGGGAGACTTTAATTGTATTCTTAAGAAGGAAGAGAAGAAGGGTGGGAAGAGATTCATCTTCTCTAGAGGGTCTAGACATATTAGAAGTTTTATGACTAACTCTGATTTTTATGATGCAGGTTTTATTGGACCAAGTTTCACTTGGTGTAATAATAAAGATGGTTCGTCAAGGATTTGCGAGAGCCTTGATAGATGCTTGGTGAATTCAGCCTCTTTGTAATTGGTTTCTGCTGGTAGAGCAAGACATCTAGCTCGTGTGGGATCGGATCATTGTCCGATTGTTTATAAAATGGAAGTTTTGCATTCTACAAAGGAGAAACATTTCAGATTTCAGGACACCTGGAGATCCTATCCAGCTGCAAGAGGTATTGTTTACAATTCTTGGGTGAAGAAGGATTTTGGAAATGAGGAGGAGATATTTCATAGAAAGATTAGAAGAACTTTGAAGGCCCTATTCTTTTGGAATAGGAATAAATGTAAAGATCTCTGGAAGCTTAGAAATGAGTTTAAGAAGGACATTCTTGAGTTGCAAGCCAAGGAGATGGCTGATGTCGGTTTATCGGTTAATGACCTGTCTTCTTAGGCACAAAGTTCATGAATTAAACATTACTTTGAAGAGACTTGCAACATGGTGGAATCAAAAAGCTAAAACTAGGTGGATTGAGGAAGGAGATATGAATTCTGCATTTTTTCATAGCTATGCATCTGCTAAGAGGAGTGCTAACTTGATTAAGCACATTAAGAATGGTGACAATCGGTTAGTTGATGAGGAAGAACAAATTGAGCAGAATTTTCTGCAGTTTTTTGAAGAGAAGTGGAAGCATAGGAATTGCCTTTTATCAGGTTGGCCGGAGATTGAAGATTCACAGAGACTTAGTGAACTGGAAAAGAAGATGCTAAATACTGAATTTGTAATGGAAGAGTGCAGGGTGGTTGTATTCCAGTAGGGTAATAACAAGTCTCTAGGAGCTGATGGTGTCACTTCTTCCTTCTTCAAGAGCTATGGGAGCATTGTTGGAGAAACAACTTGGTTGGATATCAACAAGTTTTTTAGCTCTGGTATTATGTATAAAAACTGGAAAGACACATTGATTGTGTTAATTCCCAAGGTGAATAATCCGATTGTCCCTTCAAACTTTCGTCCTATTAGTCTTTGTCAAACTACATACAAGATTGTTGCCTCTATGCTTGTGAATATACTTAAGAACCTTATGCATAAATTGATTTCTGAGGAGCAGCTAGCTTTCACTCCAGGGAGATCAATGTTTGAGCATTGCATTCTTGCTCAAGAGATCTTTCATAAGTTTAAAACCTCTAGAAAAAAGAAGGGATTAATGGCTGTCAAGCTTGACATGGCGCAGGCTTATTATGACAGCATGGGGTAGAGTACATTGCATTTGATTCTTGGATGGTATGGATTTCCTTTGGCCTTTTCTGGTTTGGTCATGGAGTGTGTGTTGAATGTGAGGTTTTCCATTATCCTGAATGGGAAGAAGATCAGATGGATTGAAGCCTGCAGTGGATTTCATCAAGGCTGTCCATTGTCACCATACTTGTTCATTATGTGTGCTCAACTCCTTTCTAATGCTTTGTTGCAAAGGGGTCATAGTTTGGGCATTCAGGTAGCTTCTAAGGGACCGAGAATTACTCATTTACTCTATGTAGATGACGTTCTTATCTTCTCTCAAGCAAATTGTAAACTGGCTAGACATATGATGGAAATTATTGAGGATTTTTGCAAGTGGACGGGTTTGAAGGTGAATGCTAACAAGTCTCAAATTTTATTTGCTGAAGCCATTGAAAGAGCTAGGAGGAAGAAGCTTACCCGAATTCTCGGTTTCAAGGCTGTAAATGAATGGAAGTATTTGGGTATCAAGATGTCTCTTAAAAGACTAAAAGTGGCTGATTTTCAAGACCTTTTGGCTCAGGTTTTGGAGAGATTAAATGTTTGGGGAAAGAAAAACTTATCTTTGGGAGGGAGAATTGTGCTCTTGAAATCCTCTTTACTAACTTTACCAAATTTTGTCATTATGCATTCGGTGGTTCCTAGAAAAGTGCTGCAGGAGATTGAGAAGTTATGCAGAAATTTTGTTTGGCACAAATCTAATGGGGAAAGAGGATTACACTATGTTGCTTGGGAAGAATTGTGTAAGCCTAGAAGTGCTGGTGGTCTTGGTTTACAATCTTGTATCATTAAGAGTGGCACATTGAAAGCTATAATTTCTTTAAATTACATTCAAAATCTTGATTCTTTGCTGCATCGTTCTCTTAATGCCAAATATTCAGATAATATTTTGGATGGTACATATAAGCACAACTTTTCTAATGCTTGGAAGATTATGTCTGAAGGAGGCAAGTATCTTAAGGATATTATTAAATGGAGAGTGGGTGATGGCAAGGATATTGATATTCTTGGCGACATCTGGATTCTTGACAGAAGCTTCAATTCTTGACCTACTTTTATTAACAGCGTTGATTTAGAAGGTAAGAAAGTACAGCAGTTGTTAACTAATGATGGAAGGTGGGATGATGTGAAATTTAGATTGTTTTTCCATCAGGATTTGGCTTGGCTAATCAAGAAAGTTAATGTGGACAGAGACGGTGGAAGGGATATGCTGGAACCATGTAAGAAGCTATCGGGTTGTTCTGTTTCATCTTTGGCTTTTAAAGCTGCAATGAACAAGAGATACAATGCTAAGGATAATGGTTTTTATGATTGGCAAAGGAAGCTTAAACTCAATGTTAAGGTTGAGTTGTTTTGGTGGAGGCTAAGTAAGTTTGCAAACCCCTCTAATTCTTTCCTTAAATTCAGAAGATTGGCGATAAGTGATTCTTGTGTTAGAGGCTGCTACGAGGCTGAAAATTATAAGCATATTGTGATTCGGTGCAAATTTCTTACTGAGATTATTTCCAAAATCAAAGAGTGGGGATTTGCTGTAAAAATTTTTCAAACTCTTGATGAATGCTTAACAACACTTTGAAGGCAGTCTAATAGAAATCCTGGAATGGTTAGATTGTATTGCACCATAGTTTTTTTGGAATTGGAAGAACCGTAATCTTGTCAAGCATGGAAAATCTGCAATGTCTTCTGTTATGACTGCTGTAAATGTTATTTCTTTTGTTACTTCTAATCTTCATCCTTTTCTAGATAGCTGGGGTGCTAACCTCTCTTGGGAGTATTTGAATTCTTGGCACCCTCCACCGCTAGATTGGTCAAAGTTAATGTTGACTCTTCACTGCTTTCTAATTACCGGGCTGGTATTGGTGGCATCTTCAGAGATTGGAAACGAAGAATGCTCCTTGCTTTTGGAAGAAATTCTTTGCATTGGGACATTGCTCAATTGGAGATGGAATATATTCTTGCTCTTCGGGATTTCATTCAAGGATGGATGCTTGAGACTGTTGGTATCATCATTGAAAGTGACAACATCAATGTGATTAACTACATTCAACAATCTATGAAGAAGACTGATTGGCACTTGGAGGAGAGCTTGAATAATAAGCTTTTCTTTCTTAATGACTTTAATAAGATTGTTTTTCACCATGTTAGTAGGAATTGTAACAAAGTAGCTGATTTTTTTGCTACTTTGGCATTAGATGGCAATTTCTTGTTTGATAGTTCTTCTTTTGGTAGTATACCGTCCACCTTGCTGGATTTAATCAAGAAGGATGGCTACCCTTTTATCTATTGTAAGTAGTTTCTTTTGATTCATTTTCAATGAAATTTGCAAATTTCAAAAAAAAAAAAAAAAGTGGTTCATGAAATGAACTTAAGTTCAAGTCTAATCCTTCTCCTTGATAGGGCAAGAATATACATGACTTGAATTAATGAACAAATATACGGTCGCAGTATCAACTATGATATTTGCTTATGTACATTCATATTAGGCCTTCAAGTCCCATAAATAATGAAAATTATATATGTACTTTTAGGGCCTACTTGAACAAATTATGTGAAGCCTTTTATGTTAACTAAAACATGCTCATATTCATATGCAACAACATCAAACAAACAAATAGATTTCATAGTAATGAGTTGGCTATTAGCTAAAAATAAAAAAAGGTATTAGATCAGAAGATATTTATACTAAAATCAGCAGTACATGAATAAAAAATTCATTAGATATATAAATAATAAAATTTCATAAATCAACCCTGGTGAAATCATAATCTAAATTCCAAATAAAGCTTTTAATACCTTTATTAAAAACCCACCAACTATCGAGGGACTCATAAAATAATTATAGTTTTACATAAAAAAGAAACATCAAGTTCTACCAATTTTGTGTATGTTACTAAGAATAATATTATATATATTATTATATTACATATATTTATGTAGTTGGGACTATATATATATTAACTTGACAATATCATTGCAACTAATATTTTCTTAGGGGAAACCCACAAAGGGGCCTATGTGTTAATTAAGAAAAAATTACATAGTCCTTAAAGGTTCCTCGTGCCCTCTAATGCTCAATAGAGCTACAAAATTCAAAACAAAAAAAATCTAAAACCACAAGGCCCCAACTACACAAAAGTACAAGGAATACTAGGTACATCCTATGGTACACAAAAGTACAAGGAATACTAGATAGAAAAAATATGCATATAATAATAACTTCCCGTCAAAAAACCAATCTGCACAAAAACCTGTAATAGAAATATCATGCAAAAGCAAGTGATAGCCACCACAATAATTGAACAAGAAGTAGCTAGCAATAAGAAAATTTAGTAAACAATGGTTAAAGCAAATTAACATATGAAATATAAAATCATAAACTAGTAACCTGGTAAGATAATACCACCTACCCGAGAGATGAGAAAGCCAAAAAGAAAAATCCATCCAACAAATATCCAACCCTCCAAACCAAACAAGGCTCCAGATACCATAATATGCAAGGATAAGGCTGGAAATAGCAAAAACACCCAGCCTTACATCAGCCAAAAATACCCTCTCCCTAGGATAACCAAGGAATATATAATCAAATTCACCAGAATGATACTGCCACTAATGACCACAACAACAAGGACCATCACATAACTCATAGCATTCCAAACCATTATAGTAATAGCCGAATAGGAAAGGCCCAGCCATCACCATCCATAGCATGAGAAGCAAGCGTAGGGAAAAAGTCCATGGACCTGCAGCAAGACAAATACCAAAATAAAAAAGAGCAAGAGAAAAAGGCCATGGACCAGCAACAACCTGAAAGGATACCAAACAGGAACCCAAAGGAACAAAAAACATTAATCCACAAAGGAAAGCCAACCAGACCATCCAAAATAAGTAAATCAAGAAGACACAACATGGAGGGATCACACAGCCTCCAGAGGGGAGCAACAATAAAAATAATAGTGCTTAACATAAGATAAACCAATTTGATCAAGTCATAAGAGGCCTTTAACCATGAACGATAGATTATAAACTGAAAGCTCATACATAAAATTAAAATCACAGCCCTAGTTACTAATATACTTAGCACAAGCATTCCCCTCCTCTGCAATGATAAAAAAAAGTGGAATTTAATGTATTCAAGAGAAACTATTATCCCTCCAAAAAAAATATAGGGCAGAAGAACAAATACTATCATTCTTATTATTAAGAAAAAGGTAATCAAAGTAAGGACTCACATCCACCATAATATTCATGTAGTAAAGATTGGCATAAAGACTCAAACCGTGAAGAATAGCATAGGAAATAGTAAATTTCTCATCACCATTATCAGTAGGACCAGCAAAACCCAACAAACATTTGCCATTATGATCTCTAATCACACCACCACAGCCAACAATAGAGCCCATTTTTGCACAAGCCACGTTCGACTTAAAAAATTAGGATGAGGCTTCATCCAAAAAATACACCTATGACTCTTATGAAAATTATTCACCTCTAAGTTAATGCCGAAAGTAGCAGTTGTAAAGAAGTAGTTTTTAAAATTCTTGAAAGATAGTAAGTTAGCAGAGTAAAGGGCCACCACTTTATCCTTAATATTATCAATAATTCTCTGGTAGCTCATAACCACAATATTGAAATGAGAATTATTCCTCTCCATCCAATAAAACCAAAGGATTAGAGAAGGAATCACATTTCTAACTTGGCCTTAAGAGTTAACAAACCAAAAATCAAGAATAAAATGAAAAGAACCCATCATCGTAAAAAATATAAAATGGAAGATGTCCTCAAAATAAGTCCACAAAGGGGCCAGCATTGAGAACATGATGTATATTATCAACATGGTAACATCATTGGAATTTAGAAGGGATGATAAAACCTCTTTGCCTCATATTATCAACATGGTAACAACATTGGCATAATTGTACTTAATAATTGTTTTAATAAAAAATACATTTTTTGAAGTGTAATATACAATATGAAGAAAATTTCTTGATGTGTAATGTTTCACCCATGTGTAATATTTACCCTATTTCTTTAAAATAGAGATTAGACATAATAATAATTATAATTAAGATTTTTTTTCTATTTGAAATGTTTCATTACACACACACACACACACACACACTTAAGGGAGTGAGTTGGTGAGTTAGAAAAATTTCTTATTTTTGAGCTAATTGTACAATATGATGTATATCATATTGGATGATGATCAGTTAAAATAAAAGATCCTAATTAGGGAACCTCTGTTAATTAAAAGTGATTAAACTAATCATACTGTACGATTTCTATCATATTAGATGATCAGATGTTGATTGATCAAAGAGCCATGAAAGAAATATAATTTTTTAAAAATAATCTTATGAATTTTTTTAACTTCCTAGAGTAATCTAATTAAGGATTAGTTAGTATCTGAGCCATTAAAAGTGATATGATTTGCTCGTTAGAGCTATTGGAGGTAGTAGGAGCAAGCCAATGATTTATTTCCTATGATTTATCATATACCTCATAATGGAGAGAGTTTAAACTTTAGTTAAAAAATAGATAAAGTTTTCATGAACTAGATATCACTAGATGATTGAAAATTGCATTGGAGATTGCCTAGCATCTACTAACATGAATTAGGCATTAATTGCATAAATAGTTCGAAGAAGGTGACTAACAGGGTGATCAAGGTGAGAGTTAATGTTGATTGACCTTCAAACCTATTTATGTTATAAATATGAGAATGAAGCTTAACATTGATCTTCTCAAGACATATCAAGATTCACAAGGAGGGTTATTATGTCCACATAATTATATTTGTCAATTATAACATTTATATTATAAGTTGGAGGGTTAGCTATTCCATCTAAGATGATGACAAAATATTAATATATTTTTGCATATTACTTCAAATTTCGAGTAATCAAATATAATTTAAGTAACTTTTGGTGTTTCTACTAAAATTAGAGAAATTATATATAATAATTACTATCTCATAATAATTTTCACAATAAGATTGACTTCATTCATAGATCTTATGATTCCCTCTATCTTGAGGGTGGATATTATCAACTTGCACCTCGAATTGCAAGCTCAGATATCTATGAGGAATCATGTATTCAATTTCTTCATTAAGGCAAAATATTTTTTGAATCAATGTACTTCTAAATAATAAAAATTTTATTATGTAGATTAACCTTCATCATTCATGCTCTTAACATCTTTAATCACCTAAGATATGGATATTGTGGTTGTTGATGAAAATATTTCTATGAAAGGTTTTAAATAATGTAATTAAGAAGTTGATATTGATGATGACAATACAGAGGTGAGTGAGGAGGGTGATCACAAATACTTGGTTGATCTTATTTTCTTATTTGGAGATTTCAAGTAGTCTCTTGATGTTTGTCCTTACCTTCGTAGTTGAGTTGTCGCAATTGCTTAAAATTGACAGTGATAGCCTTATATATGACAATTTGTATGTAGATTTATTCACAAAGCATTACCTTTCACTAAAGGAAAAACACCTATTTTTGACGACCATTTACCACCAAAAAATTTCCTAAATCCATAAAAAAATAACTTGCTAACATATTTCATTTTGCTGGTGAAACGAGCCCTAGAAAGTGGCTACTACAAAACTTTAGCTGGAAATTTTTTTTATTATTTTCTAGGAGATTTTAAACATAATCATTGTAGAAAAAAGCTAAATTTTGTGCCAAATTATCTACGAATATTTTGCTGGTAATTCTGACATATTTTTCCTCTAAAATTGTTGTGGACTTATCCATCATAATTTTGTTGGTAATATCGATTCAATTGTTCGATGAACAACCATCAAAAATTCAAATGGCACCTGCCTCCAAATATTTTAGAGGCACCTGCTTTGGAAATTTCTTTTGTAATAGTAAAGAATAATGATAGACAGAAATATATCACAAAACTCATCGTATCATAAAATTTGATGTTTTTTCTGTAAAACATTATCGAAAACCAGTAGCATAATAAAAATAACCACCACCATGCCTTAATTATTGTACAACATAACTTTTATACAATCATAGTCAATCAAACTAGTTAGTTTCAACATTTCTACATTCATATTTCAACAATCAATAAGAATATTAATATTAAAGTAAGTAAACTTCTAATTAAAAGAACATGTTCAAATACTTCTACAATAAATGTCCAGTTCTTGTACAATAAAAACTAAACATAAAATTTATAAACAAATATAGTCTTGTTAAAATCGGTATTGTCATTCTCCTCTGTCGATACTTACTTCTTTCAACTAAACTGCTACCCCATTTTCTATAA